GCATGTTGTTTTCAAACGGAAAAAAATCAGAGAGACTATTTAAAACTAATATAAATTATTGATAAAATTGCGTTTTAATTTTAAATCGGGCTGTTACGATATTAATATAAGACCTAATTTAATAGTTACACAGATTAAGACAGTATAAGACTTATATTAAACTAAAAAGTTTTAGAATTCGTGAGTTTGCCAGCTCACAAATCATTAAACCTAAAACTCGCCCCTTTCCCTACTTTACTAGATTGTCTGAATCCACCAAAAGTAATACTAATAGACTCATAGACGCAGAGTTTTAGTTTTCCCGGATGGGACATAAACTATTTTGTAGGAGTTGAATATCTATAATAAGAAATAAAAAGTTTTTTTAATGGGCTTGAAAAAATTTATTTTTTCAATTAAAATGTGTTTATGCGTATGGAGGCACGCATTATAAACTGTGTACGGAGGGGCGCATTATAAACTCATCGATCAAATGATCAAAATCAAGAGCGTAGACAATATCGCGATGGCAATTTAAAATAGCGAGATGATACGAAGACAAAAAAAAGAGCGCTCACACGTACATGAGGGGACAGGCATACATAGTAAAATCTTCACCAGCTTTACAAACTCGGGAATCAGTGGAATTAAGTAAAAAAGGACACTATCATGGTCTACAGCTCATTAAAAACTGAATCAAAATCATTTAGTTGCACACTAAAAAAAGGAAGAAATTTTTTATGGGATACAACCGTCATACAACGGTTGCATCCCATAAGACTTTGAAGCTTCTTTTAACACCTCTTTAAGCGCGTTGATGGTATTTCTTGCTTTGTAAAAATTTAGCTGCATGCCTAAAATGATTTTCAATAAACGTTTAACATTATAATTTGCTTAAAATATAATATATTAAAAAAAAAACACTATGAAATAAAACAATATTTACCTTGGAGTGCTGTATTAGCATCCTCGATTATCGTGAAGATCATGCGCAAAATTTCCAATTTGAAAAATGTGTCAAACTTACAAAAAGATTCCAGATAACCCGCTGCTTCTGACTTATTTTTGGCTAAATTTAAAATACTTTAACCAGTTGATGATGGCGGAATAGTTACTCATAATAAATATAATGGACGGTTTTCAAAGGATCCATCGAGTGGGGCAAAATGGCCGCAGTGATGTTCCGCTTTCTACATCCTCTACATTTCGAAATTTATTGAAACATGGCAGTTGTTTTAGAGATCCACGGGCAAATGCGATGAATGTTTGCACTAAATTCATAATATTCCTGATCACTGTTTGTTTTTCAACTGAATCTTGTGCTACCAAGTTAAGATTATAAGCGTGGCAGTGCATGTAAATTGCCCGCTCTTCTTTCCTCCTCATTAAAGTCTGCAGTCCATAGATACTTCCAGACATGTTAGACGATTCGTCAAAACATTGGCCCCGACATTTTTGAATCAACAGGCTAAATCAACACAAAACATCCATCAAACAGTTTAACAAAGTTGCGTTCTTGATGTTCTCGGTTTGGTAAAGTCCCATAAAAGCTCCTCAATTTTAAATTTTTCATTAACACGTCGAATGCAGATCGAAATTTGTTCTTTTGCGGACATATCCGTTGTTTCATCGGCCATTAAACTATAGAGTTGTGATTCCCTTATACTTTTTCATATCTTACAAAGCGTTGCATGAGCAAAGTCTTATAGGACTTCATTTCCAATTTCAGGCGAAAGCCACTTTTGATTTTCAGGACGATTTAACAGTTTCTTCAGTTTCAGAGAATCGTCTGCTCGTAGTTTGAGTAGCATGCGAAAGTTTGAATTATTTTCAATCTTCTCACGAATGGCAAGGCCTTGCATTCCCTAATACATGAAGAAGAAACATTTAGTTATCTATAAACTTAGATAAATTTAGTTATTCAGTAAATAAACTTAACGATTGATAGTTAATCTAAATTTTTCTTAAACGAAATTGAAGAATTACCAAATAAAGAAGTGTTATAAATATTTTTTATAAAGCCGTACGCTTATCCATCATTTGTTTTTTTTTGGTGATAATTAAGCTGCTGGATAATGGTCAATTCGAGTGTTGCTAAGGCGATCATACTAACGGACGCCCTATGGAGTTCAGATCGCTCGTGAGAACCAAAAATTTATAACGTTTACTTCCAATTAGAAAATCCTTTAAAAATAAAAGCTTTGTACGAGTATTTTTCTTTTGAACTACGAGGTAAAGGCATTTTCATTTGGGTAGCTTTGATGCAGATAAAACAAAAAACTTTTTCTTTCTCGCGGTCATGTTAAACCTATTTATACTTTTCATTACAGCTTTATTTAAATTTGCATCCCTTTTTTGATGGAAAAGATGACTTTCATGAACAACAAGGTCCAGGCTCCTCTGTAAAAGCGACTCAACAAAAGCGGTTGAATCAGTTGCATCATCTGACTGAACAAATGATAAACTTTCATGAGTATTATCTTGAAATTTATAAGCATTTTAAGATTTAGAAAATAATGCAACTGTTTCAATTTGATTTTCTTTTTTTGAAAAGTATTCACTAATCTTCTTCATTGTACAATATCGTACAACTTATAACTTAAAAGTCAATGTACTGTTGAACAATGAAAAAATTTCTTTAAAAACTTACGTTTTTTTAATTCAAATGATTTTTAATTCAAAACTTGTAAATAATTAATACAAATAATACTGCCAAAGTTATCAAAGAAAAAAAATACTAAAAGAACATTTAACTTACACAACTCTATAGTTTATGTAGTTCCGTTAATTTGCTTTTTGTTACGTTTTTACCAATCTCAAATTCCCTTGAGACTCATTAGAAGCCTGAGAATACTTCCTTGAGAATCAGAATTTTTTAATTGTTATATTTATTAATGTTTAAGTATATTATGGTTTTTATTTTTTAAATATTTTTGAAAACTTGGTAAATTTTCCCGGCTAGGGCAAAGCCCCAGCGACAAATTTCCGGATGTGGCTCGAGCCCCCGAGCCCCAGCTCGTTCTACGCCTATGAATAGACTTGTCTAGGTAAATATTTCTTTGTAAAGTAAACCAAATTTAATGGGTACATTAGTGACGGATCCATAATTTTTTTTGTTTAAGGCAGCATACTTCCGGACATGGAGCAAGCTCCAAACATTTTTATGTTTATACTTATGTCAGATTGGAGGCTGGGAACAAAAACCCTCTAAAATTTCATCCAAAAATCCAAAACATGAGGGCAAAAAGTTGATAAAATATTTTTTCTACTATTCTCAACTAGACTTATATTCATAGATAATTTTTAAGTTTCATAGTATTATCTCTCAGCGTTCAAAAATTATGACCATGTAAAGTTTAAACATCCCTCAATTGGAGGGGGTTTTCAATTTTATATGGTTATAATTTTTGAACGCTGAGACAATAAACTTTTCGTTAGCAAAATATCAAATTTCATGTTTTATGAAAAACTAGTTGATCGTTAATTTTTTCCTCCGTGTGGGTGGGGGATAGTGATACATTACGGTAGAGCTCAACGCTTATCCCGCAAGATTCGCGAATACAAATTCTAATATAAAAAAAAAAACAAGCGCAAACGTGCAAAAGTAATATTTGAAAGCGATAGTACTTATCAGATTTATTAGATTTTCTCGGTTTTATTTAAAATTGTCTACTCTTTATTACATTTTTTGGAAATAAATCTAATTACTATTAAAATTATCTGAAACTTTTATTAAATTTTTCTGTTCAATAAAAGGGATGGTTGCAGATGATTTTTCTTAATAATCTGTATATTAATTACTCTTTATCTGTATCACATATTTTATTAAAATGATTTTAAGAACTTCTTTTTAAGTTGATCTAGCATAAGCTTTTTTTTAGCTAGTTATTTAATTAATTTTTTTTTTAATTATGTTTTTATATTATATAAGTAAAGTACTCAGATAGGTTTTTCAAGTCAACAGCCCAATTAATATTAATATTATTAAACAGCCTGAGTATTGTTGTTATTACATATATTAACAAACCATATAGTCAAATTTTGACAAACCATACTGGTAAAGTAAAATATTTTAAAATTATTAATTTTTTATTTGATTTTTAATAATTATAATTGATACAGCTACAGATAAGCCGACTTAATTTTATTTTTTTGCTTGTTGCACCCTGGTCAGTGCAGACTTTTTTAACCTAAGGAATATTTATTGGCCTTAGTACATACATTGACTATCTTATAGCCTGCTGCAGCAAGGAAGTGTGCTCTACATTGACTGAGGGTTCACTATCTTTTTTTTTATTATTCCAATAAATATTCCTTATGTTTAAAAAGTCTCCACTGAGACTGTTGTGAGAGTGTAACAAACAAAAAATCAAAATTATTTTAGGCCAATTAACTGTAAGATTACCAAAAATATCATATACTAGTTTATATTAAATTAATAGTATTAATAATAATATTAAATTAATAACTTTATATTTAAGCTATTAGAAAATTAATGTATAATAAAAACAAGGTTGCAGAACCAGATAGCCAAAATAGACAAGATGTTATAAGATGATATTTTACACACGTTTTATAATTAATATTATTTATATTGTATGATATTTACATTTTTTATGATATATTATGATATTCACTGATAATTGGCATAATGTAATAAATAAAAAAAAACACACATAGAACCTTAAAAAAGATTTATGTTAATTGTAATAAGTAGTTAAAGTATTAGAAGCAAAAAAGAGTAAAATTAAACTTAACATAAAAGTAAGAAATATTTTTCTTTTACAGTTTTGTTATCAACGAATTGCTTAACAGTGGACACTAGTCTCCATTAATAGTTTGAGTAGTTTTTCTAATAGTTTTGCCTTTTTTATGTTTTCAAAGAGAAATTTATGAATTAAATAATATGTTATGAAAAATTGTTAAGTAAATTAAGTATATTATAGTACAAAATAAAGTACAGTTCCAAATGTACCTAATGCAAACAAAGATTAAATATTATTAATGTTCAATACATTTTTTTTAGTTGAATATTTTAATATGTCTAAAAAGGAGTTAGCATTTTCAATTGTTTCTTTTTTAAAATCAGAAGTGGAAAGTGAAAGCCTAAATGCTGATGGTATTGAAGGTTTAGAAGGTATTTTATGTTTTATTTTATTTTATATTATATGTAATGTTATGAAAGTATGATCATCTGATTTTCTTCAAGTTCTTTTTTAAATAACTTTAAAATTATTAATTTTGATTGTATTTTTCTTTTTATTTATTGAATGAAAATTGAAAACAAATTTATGAAGTTAGATTAAAAGACACTCTTAGATTATATCTAATATCAATCAATGATCAAAATAGTGTCAATCGAGATGAGTAAAAAACCTCTGTTATACCCTGTTCACACTGACAGTAAAACACGTTTTGTTTTAAATGTTTTATATTTTTAATGTTATAAACTGTGTAAAATATAAATGTTGTTCGACACATTTAAAAGGCATTTGAATGTGTTAACGTTTTCTTTTACTTATATACAAAGTTGACATTTACAAAAAATTGTTCGCTTTATATAGCATATAATACAACTTGTGACTCTTATTGACAATTAATAAAAAACGTTATAATAATAGAAAATCACAACTTGTGACTTTTGTCAATAATTAGCACGCTAGTTATTAATGACACACAACATCCCCCTTAGCTCAACAAGAGCTCATACGTAATCGTTGTACTTCTGATTAGGAAGTACTCTCCTTCCATAGCGAGTGAATTGAACAGGCTGTGACTCTGTCTCACTATCTGTTAAATAGTTTTGATCGCTGCCTGTACTATTGTCATTTTTACCATTTTCCGGAGGAATTATTTGAAGATTTGGATCATCATTGACAATGTGTTTTGAGCTCGTTTCGAAAAGTTTAAATAGTGTTGAATCATAATCATCTGTTGTATCTTCTTCTTTTGTGTCTACACGACGATGTTGCAGATGAGAAAAATGTTGTGGTAACGTATGTCCGTTGACATCAACTTTAGCTGTTAAACCATTATGCAATGCCACTATACTTCCTTTCAGCCATCGTTGCGTTCACGGCGTTATGTGCTTGGGTTTCACCCACACTTTGTTGCCAACTTTCCATTCACGACACTCTGTTATCGACTTTTGTGTTGATTTGATTTTATCGATTCCAGGACTTCGAACTCGTTTGTGGTGTTGGCAAAATATTTCAAAAGGTGTGCCATGTTTTGATGGAACGTTATTGATTAAAAATACAGACATGGGAATACCACATTTTACTCTTGCATTTGTTCTTTTTACTGTCCGATGAACTCTTTCAACTATTCCATGTCCCGATGGTTTTTCAACAGCTTGATAGATGAGCCTTATTTCCCATTTCGAAGCCATAGTTTGCATAAGCTGAGATCTAAATGACTTAGAGTTATCTAGAAGAACTTCAGAAGAAGGTCCAAGTGTTGACCATATTGTTTCTAACACTTGAACAACCATAGTTGCACTTTCATCGCTTAATGGTGTCCATAACGTATATCTGTTTGGGTCGCAATCAATACAAGTGAGATATAGCGATGAATCAACATGAGTAACATCGCAGGCTACTCTTTCCCATACTTTGCCAACAGCAAGATTTCCTTTATCCCACAACATCACATTAGGGTCAATCGAGTTACATTCATCGCATTCAGCGACAACCTGTTTCACTGTGTCTCTGGTAACGTGGATACCAGCGCGCATACATATACTCTTGGAAACTCCCATGTGTGCTAGTGAATGAATTTTTCGAATCAGCTGTTTATCGTACTTATAAATGGTATTACATTTTTGTGTTGCAACTTTGTTTTTTATCCATTTTGTTGGCACTCTTGTGAATTCATCTGCAATATTTTTAGTTGTTGGTACCCATGTAACAATTGCATTTATGACATAATCCTTGACCAATTTTTCAAATATTTGAAGTCTTCGTCGAATTAACATTTCACATTGCCCAGCACATTTCACAGGTTTGTCACGAGTCAATTCAGAATTTAACCAACTTTATACATTATGAGAATCAGTTTTAATGGAGACATCACTTGGATTCCATTTCAATGCCATATTTAGACCTTCAATACATGCATCTAGTTTGGCCACATTGATATGCATTGCATCAGACTTTGGTCAGAGCCATGTCGCATCTTCTATCTTTCTGTCACCTTGCGTTATCACAACTCCTTTTGCCAGCAAACTTGCATCGCACCATACAGTCAGAGATGCATTTGGTTTAACATTCCATACACCTTTTGCCGGATCGCACTTTACAACTTTATCTACAACTTCCTGCATCATTTCGATAACATACTTATTCGTAATAGGTTCATCCCAACCTGCTTCGTTTGTACATCTTTTTATAAAGCTGCATGCCCGTCTCAACCATCCAGCAACTGGTAGATTAGCAATCAGATTACCACATAATGAGAATATATCCCTCTTTGTGAGCACAGATTTAAAAATAGGAAGCTCGCGTCCTCTCTTCCAAAACATCTCCTTTTGTTAATGGATTTACTGTGACTTCTAATCCTAGTGCACGAACTAGGTTTTCGCCAAAATATTCAGGTGCTTTTGCATGAAGACCCCATTTCTTCATATGTATCACCAGCTTTCTTCCATTTCCAACACTTCCAGGGTGTCATCAATGTATCCTCTTGTTGTTTTTGCCAGTGCAGAATCTTGTTAGAGAACATACCGCAATATTGATCTCATCATCACTGGTGCCAAACTTAAACCAAAGCCCAAACATGTAAGTGCAAATCGCTGATTTTTATAGATGACCGTCTGGTAAGGCCAATGTCTTTTATGCACATGAATTTGTAAATATGCTCTTCTTAGATCCACTACTGAGTCATTGCTGTTTTTACTCATGAGTCTCCACTCCCTCATTGCATCATTGATGACATCAGCATCCCTTGTAGAGGCTTTTACATACATGTTAAGCTCACGATAATCAAGCACAGGTCTTATCTTCTTTTTATTATCTTGAATGGCACACATTAAGGGTAGTAGGCTTTAGGCTTTCCCATAATTTTATCGTCATATTTGATGAGTATACCTTCTTTGATCCATTCATTTATTTCGTTGTTAAATGCCTCACAATGTTGGTCAGCTACATTATACTGACTTGTTCTATTTTTCATTTTAGGTTCGTTTCCCACTCCCAACTTACAATCCATTTTTTGCCATCAAAATAAGCTTTGCTTGTTCCAATTTCAATTGTCGCAACACGAAGTTTCGATGACAACTTAATCAAAGAATTACACAGTTTTCCAGTGCCAGGCCTTGCGATAAAGCGTCTGGCAATGTGAATTTTCCAAGAGCGATTTTGCGTGTAGCTAGAGCTATTTGCATCGAGCAAAAAATTTTTTGTTTAAGTATATTTAAAAATTTTTTTGAGCGGCATTTTAATGAAGTAATTTACAATTATTTTAACATTTAATAAAGTATTTTAAAAACCGCACGCAGTTGATATAAAAGTTTGAATTAAAAAAAATTAAATATGCTCATTATTTACAAGTAGAAAAAATTCAGATTAAAAAAAAAGTTTAAATCTTTTAAGCTAACATTTTAATAAAATTATTCAGCAATAGCAAAGTTGTCGATAAAATTGAACAAAAATACTTTCTTTTAGTTTTAGATTTTAAACTTAAATAATTATTTTACGGGGGTTTGTTAGGTTTTAAAATTATTCCATAGATTTAAAAATATTTATTAACTGTTAGACGTATTTAAAGTATTTAAGAGTAATTTCGAGGAAACATTTTAAAAATTGGTGATCGCAAATAAAAAAAAAAAAAAAGGATTAATATTAAAACGTATTCTACTTGATTCAATAAAAAAGTACAGTTATTAAAATTTTTGTAAAAAGTAACTCAAAAAAATTACTTAAATAATAACGATCGCTTTTTTGTTAAAAGTTACCAAAATTCAACGAAGCGTGCTCAAGAACAGCTGCTGAAAAATAGAACGTCAATAGTTTTTCGAATAATTTTTAATAATAATTTTTAAGAATAATTTTTTCGCTGAAATATTTCTTTTTTATCTATAAGATTTTTATTCTAACATTTTATTTTATTTTACTATAAATAAAATTCTTTGTTAACATTAAAAATCTATTCAAAACGTTCGTTTAAGTTTTTTATTAATACGAGTGATTGTGCTTATCAACCGCTTTATGAAAATAAATAAAAATAAATAAATATATAAAATCGCTTGTAAAAATATTAGCTATTGCACGGTTTTTAATCGTACAATATTAAAATTTCCAGTTTATTACTCGCTGACTTTTTAAAAAGAAAAAATAATTATTTGAAAAACTTTAAATTACATATTTGAGAAAAAAAAAATCAAATATTAGCATATTTTATAATCTTTTTTAAATTTTAGTTATAATGTTTTTTATTTGTTTAGTATAGACAAAACGTGTCAAACGTCGAGAAAATAAGAAAATGTTTTTACACTTTAAAAAACGAAACATTCTAAAACATTTTTAAATAATAACGTTTCTACATTAATGATTTAAAGTAGTTTTGCGGTAATTAAGTAAATTGGTGCAGTTAATGTCGAAAAATATGAAAAGCAAATAAAAAGAATTTAATGACGTCAAAAATCACGTCGTGCTTATGGGTCGCACAGTTTTTATTCATCACAAGGCCTGCAGTGCCAATTTGTAGTCCATCACATAGTCTTTATCAAGTCCATACCCATAATCATGTCGTATTTGTTTATTACTTCATTCACATTCAGAACCACCACATCCACCAAGCACCCGTTCGTTGGGTGGCATATTTTAGCACTAACTTCTTCGCATCGAATTATTCCGCCCATTGTTGCAATATTTACTACACCAATCACTTTATAGTCAGGCGGCAGTAACTTCTTGGTGATGATTGATTGCGAACAACCAGTATCCACAAGCGCTGTAGCTTTTCTTCCGTTTATTACCAAGTCAATAGTAGGTAGTCTTGTTTCGGGACGAGTTCTTATAAAGATACCTAATGCGAACTCGTCCCATTTAAGTTTTCCTGGTTTCTTTGACGTTTGTAGCAGTCTTTTGCAGCATGTTTATGCAAGCATTTTTTGCATAAAGAGGTACATTCACGTGC